CAATATAAACAATAGAAAATTCAGTAAAAGGATTAAATATGTCATTCAAAATATGTTGAAATTCTGAAGGAGCATTTTTTAACCCAAATGGCATCACTGTCCATTCATACTGTCCGAAAGGTACACAAAAGGCTGTCTTGTACCTGTCTTCTTCGGTGATTTGTACCTGGTAATATCCAGATTTAAGATCAAATTTAGAGAAGATCACAGCAGATTGTAACCTATCTAAAAGATCTTTGATGTTGGGAATTGGGTATCGGATCCAACTTAAAGTAAGATTAAGTGGTCGATAATCAATAACCAATCGAGGAATTCCTCGTTCCTTTTCAGCATTTTTATTGACATAAAAAGCTCTGCAACTCCAGGGGGAGTAGCTAGTAGTGACAAGCTTTTTGGCCATTAAAGAGCTGATTTCAGTCTTACATAATTCCAAGTAGTCAGCTTTCATGTGGCTGGGACTGGCTTTAGAAGGAATCATGCTATCGGTAAACCCTTTTACATAGGATAAAGAAACAATATGCTTCTTTCTGGCCCAAAAAGCATTAGGAATCTCACTACAGATTTCCTTTAGAAAGTGTTGCCGTAGTGACTCAATTTTCTGTTGCTCTTTGGGTTGTACCAATCTTTGACTAATTGCTAAGGAGGATACCTCCTGTTGCAAATAATTCAGTTGCTTTTCCTTAAAGATAATGTTATCTTTAAGGGCATTGATATGCTTATTTACTGGTGGGGTCAAGAACTGAAAAGTTATTGACTGACCATGTAAAGTAGAGCATATTCCATGAGAATCAATTTTCTCAATTGGCATAATCAAAGCTAAAAAGGGAGTGCCCAAAATAACCTGTTGTGCCAAATTTCTGATGAGTAAGAAAGTAGATGGGAGACAAATACCTTCTTTACAAATGAAAACATGATTAAGTTTATACTTAATCTGCATCTTACCTCCACTTGCACTGGTAAGACCTTGAGTGGTTTTCTCAAAATATTGAGTAGGAACCAAACCTTCCTGGATGCAGTTCATGTCTGCACCACTATCAACTAAGGCAATTGCATTAGTGATTGTGTACTCCTGATTAATTACCAAATTGATAGATATATACCATTTTTGGTAAGTAACTTGATTCAGGAGTTGAAGATAATTAGTACCTTCCTGTTGAGGAACTTCATCATTAGATGATGAAGAAGGGATTGCAGATTTTGCTTTTAAAAGAGTAATCTCTAAATCCATCGTAGTCTGACGAGACTTCAACTGACGAATTTCTTCTTTTAAAAGATTAATCTCCATTTTAAGATCAGGGAGATTAGCAGGACGAGAATTTTGTCCTTGGTGTTCTAATCTGCGTAGAACTTCTTTCATACTGTAATGATTTTCTGCTCGCAGAAAATCTGGATTACCCGTGTCCTCATTAGATCGTGCCAAAGCAGAACCTATTTCAAAGACTTTCATCTTGATTTGAGGATCCTGGATATGATCTATAAGATCCAATAAGGATTGTTGAGTTGAAGTTAAAACATTCAAGCTTAACCCATTCATCTCAACAATTGCCTTATAATAATCATCATGCGAAGGATTACAGGAACATCTAGGGTTTTCAATCTCTGCTTCAGAGGAAGAAGAAGATTGTAATTCCATGACAACATCGCCGTAATCACTTGATGATTCTGGTTCAGAAGAACTAGTATTAAGTAACAATTTACTTAATTGAAGTCTCAATTCCTCTTCTATGTGAAGACTACTGAGCTTTTCCTTAGTTCTGCATTTGTTTGCATAGTGGCCAATGCGCCCACATTTGAAACATTTAGCCTCAGCCTTGGGCTTTCCTTTACCCTTTGCTTTAGGAGTATATCTCCTTTTTGGCTTAGTATGCTGTCTAGAATTATCCTTTTCCTTTGAATAATTCTTTATTTTGGAATACTTCCTTTTATAAGGTTTTTCAACCTTATTTCTTTTCCTAGGTTTAGGATAAGATAAGGGAGTCTGATAGGCAAATTGATCACAAAATTCACCTACTTCCTTTCGACCAGTTAATCTTTGGGATTTTAACTGGGATTGTAACTTCAGATCATTACAGAGAGCTAGACCTTCTTGGATTACAATATTAACTAATCCACCATAGGTATAGTTTCTGTAAGGAATAGAGATACCATTATTCATATCTCTAAGCTTTTTCCTGATTCTTTCAGCAAAAAAGGTTGGCAAACCATCTACAAATTTGGCTTTCCAGTGCTCATGATTTGCATCATTGAGCTGGAGAACCTTTGCCAAGAATACATCTTTATACCACCGGAAATGAGTTAAAGATGGACATCTTAGATTTTGTAGAAGTTCACGACTCCGTTCACTATTAGCACCTTCAGGGCCAACAAAATGTTGGATAATAGTGGTAATGAGTGTGTAAACCGCATCAGGAGCAGGGCCTGATTGTTGAGTAGCTTCATCTTTAACAATCTTGGTAGCAGAAAAGATTTCAGCTTTCTGAATGTCAGTGAGAACATTATCCCACCATCCTTTAAGGATTCCTGTAAAACCAGCAACGACAAACTTAGCAATGGTTGGGTCAGTATTGTTGTTGATTTTACAAACTTGGCCATACATCAGGATTTGATGAATAACCTCGTAAATCTGATAATCAGATTTGCCATCTATGTTCCATTCATAAATGGTCTTGCCATGAAAAGATTTCTGTGTATGAAAATAATCTTCTTCATACAAGATATCTTGAGGTGTGGGTCTGGGATAATAATATCGACTCGGAGCAGGGGCTGTATTTGAGTGGATATTCTTATCATAGACAATTCTGTTGAACTCAGGGAGCTGAGTAAGATCCTTAAGGACTTCCTCAATATGAGGTAACACATTCTCAGAATCAGAACCAATTTCAGATTCATCATGGGATAAAGTCTGAATTTTAAGTCCTTGAATTTTCTGAGTAAGAAGAGTAAGAAATTATTCATTCTTCTTAGGATGTGTCAGATTGAAGCCTTGAACTTCAATTGCAGGTTTCACCAATGCTTTGGATAAGGAAGCTTCTGGAGGAGAAGATTTTTCAGAAATACACTTAGTATTAATTGTATTTAATACAGTGTCTATTCCCGTTTCAATTCTCCCAAGCTGGGACCCTATCGTTTGTAAGCAAACATTGGTATAATTGTTCTGTTTGTAAACGTGAGTAATGTCCTTTCTAGTAGCAGTACTAGTTGGATCAATTACTTTCGGTTGGCTATAAGCCTTGGTTTCCACTTTAGAACCACTGTCCGGGTCAATTCTTTTGAGAATTAGATGGTCAGGGGGAGGATGGACAGAGTGAAAAACCTTATCGTCAGATGTGGTCCATGGTTTGAGAAAATCATCCAATATGTTAATATTAATAAGAGAATGATTGGTCATATAGAACCAAGAAACAAAAGGTATAACCATTTTGCGTTCTTGGACAAATTCATAAAATTGGGTTTTGAAAAGTTGTAATTGATTTTGGTCAAAACTTTTGAAATACCAACTTCTGAATTCTTTATATTGATCCTGTTGAAATTCAGCATTAATGGCAATTCTATCAGGGACAAAATCCATTAAAACTAATATTCATGTGGGTCATTAATGTCTGTGGGATCGTCAAACTGATCCTTGACAGATTCATTTCCGATTCCCATTTCAGATGGAGTTGGGCTGAATTCAATTCCAAATTGGCGACGAGACATACCTATTGGTGCTTTCTCGTAAACTCCTCTTGGAATTTGATTCGGAGATTGTTGTATTCCTTTCAGCTTGAGCTTGGAATCAACTGCTTCAGGGAGTCCTTCTTTACGGTAATCTGACGAGATCGAATGTCGAGAAGGAGGACAAGAAACACGATAAGGAAGATGACTTCCTTTAGATGATGTCGATCTGGATAGATCGATGGATTTTCTGAAATTCAGAAAAACATCACCATCCTGATCCTGAATAACACAGTCTAAGCTATGATTAGCAATTGGCTGTGCTGGGACGGCATTAGAAATCGTCCAGTGTTCAGGAAATGTTATCTCACTCCAAGGAATCATCCTTTTTGTGGCAACATTTGATGTGTACATGTTAGTATCCCATAACGCTGTTACTCCTTTAGAGTCTTTGCGTATGGCCTTGGGACACATAGTATCAAGTACTTTGTAATGGATGCGATAAATAACACTTATCACTTCCGATCCAGGTAAGTAATCATATCCATAAGTCTGTACCCTAAGACTAACTGCCTCATGGATGTTATTATTATTATCACGATCTATTTCTTTCGGTGCACTTCTATGAAGAAAATTAGAAAAGTGAGCGCTTCATTATCATTTCATTTCTTCCATATGCATTTAGAGAGGAATTTGGATGGATCTATTTCTTTCGATGCACTTCTATGAAGAAAATTAGAAAAGTGAGCGCCTTTATTATCATTTCATTTCTTCCATATGCATTTAGAGTGGAATTTGGATGGCCCAATATGAACGGAGTCCGATACCATATTTGGTTTTTGTGATAAGAGTTTTGACAACTTTTTTTTTGTTTTGCAGGTTGGATTTTGGGTTGAAACTTGAATTTCTTTTAACACTGAAGAAATTATTCAATACAACATATGTACCATATTGTTGGTACAATCAACTAATAAAAGTCTAGTAAATTATTATCGAAATTTCACCATAATAATATTTAATACTAATTAATAGTGTTACTAATAAGTATTAATTACCCTACCCAACCCAAATTATGTGAATCTAATCCAATCAACCGACTCTAGCTCATCCTTCTATTTTCTTTCGCTTATCTAAATACAACTTAAGAATAATAATGAATATAAGTGGTGCAAGGTTATGGACCCTTATTTTTATAATCCCACTATTGGGCCAGCCCACCTAAATCTCTCGCTAGGGCATTCAAAGAAGGGCTGACCCATTCTCTCTCTTCTCCGTACAGCATTGTGCTCCAGTCGTCAGCCGGAGGAGGCTTTAGGAACCGGTTCAGAGCTTTCGTTAGTAAGCTCTCTCTCATTCCCGTATTGTCACACAAGCTTTCTAAATTGTGAATTCTACACCCAAGATCTGTTTAAGTATTGGGGAATTTGGGGTTATATATTTCTTGATGATATATATATATATATATATATATATCTACACACAAACACCAAAATGCCAAACCCGTACACAAATTGTTTTTGTGGCGCTCAGGGTAGGAACTAGGAAGTATGTCCATCCGCGCGTGTATATACACACTATATAATTTCGTGTCTTCATTTGTATATTCTTGTGGGTGGTATTGTTTTGTTTTCAAACGTTTGATCACTCATTTACTTATAAGATAAAAATTCTGATGACCCAAATTAACATCAACAAAGTTTACTGCTTTAGGCTAAATTCTTGGAATTGTATTAGTCTTTTGTTAGATTTTTTTTTTTTTTTCCTATTCTAAATGGACTTTTGTTAGAATTATTCTGCAGAATTATAAAACATAATTCATGGAGCTGAATCCAACTAGCGAAAAACTTGGAAAAAAAAGGCTTTGTTGAGTTGACTTTAGGATGTGTTTTGATGACCCATGAAATTGAGCTTCTCCATTATGTTCTCTACGTAGATTTTTTTTCTTCCTGAATGTATTCTCTACTTAGTTTTCTTACTCTACACAAATCCAGTATCACTAATGAATAATATCATCTGAGAACACAGGTGATTATAGCTGCAAGTAATACTACATAGCTTTAATGGCACAATCTCCTTTAAAAACTACGGCTAACTATGGTGATGACTTACGTATGATATATTTGGTGGCTTCGTTCCTGAATGTATTCTCTACTTAGTTTTCTTTCTCTACACAAATCCAGTATCACTAATGAATAATATCATCTGAGAACACAGGTGATTATAGCTGCAAGTAATACTACATAGCTTTAATGGCACAGTCTCGTTTAAAAACTACAGCTAACTATGGCGATGACTTACATATGATATATTTGGTGGCTTCATTTGGGATGATTGCTTTCTTCCTTTAAATGCTAAATAGAACACAGTACTCAATAAGTAGGGGACACCCAGGCAATGTTAACATGCTTTTGATAGGGACATTTGAATATCATAAGCGGAATGGATACATGGGTTCTTGTAGCTGACACCAAATAATTGGGAAAAGGCTTGGTTGTTGTTGTTGTTGCATTTGAATATAATTGAAATTTGGGCTAAATCTGGTTTGTTTTGATTGTGGTTTATTTTATCTACTGTTTTATTCTTGAACAATGCTTCTTTTGTAGAGCTTAAATAATTCATTTGTGCTAAGAGGAGAAGTGAATCACAAGTTCCTTTTGCTAACTAAAATAGATTACATTAATGGGTTTGCCAAGATTTACACGTCCCAAGGAAGAAGATGGTGAGTCAAGCCCTAACCTTTATGTGGCCAACTGCGGGCCAGCTGTGGGACTTTCTTTTGACACTATTGCGTCAGTGTTCAGCACCTACGGAGAAGTAAAAGGAGTCTATGAAGCTGATGAAACTGGCACTCGTGTCATTATATCTTATTCTGAAGAGAGTTCTGCTCAGGAAGCCTTAAACGCATTAGATGGACATCCATGTCCTGATCTTAACGGCCGTTATTTGCACATACGGTATTCAGTACTTCAACCACATTGCCAGGTACTAAACATGTAGTAACTCTGAGACCTTTCAGTAACCTTTGGCTTTATTAGCTCTTCTAGGGTCAATTTGGATCTCATATAATTGCACATTTATATATCAGATTAACCTCAACTCTGGGATACAGTGCTTAAATTTTAAGCATTATATATGAAGATACGGACATCAAACAATTAGCCTCATGTCAGTTGACATGTCTTAGGCATATTTGTTGTTTGTGTAGTGGGATTTAACTATGTGATGGATGAACTCTTTGTTAACTTTTTTACTGAGATATCATGGACAGAATCATCATTAATCCATGTCCTGTTCTTAACGGCCGTTATTTACACATATGGTATTCAGTACTTCAATCACATTGCCATGTACTAAACATGTAGTACCTCTGACATCTTTCAGTAACCTTTGGCTTTATTAGCTCTTCTAGGGTCAGTTTGGATCTCATATAACTGCACATTTATATATCAGATTAACCTCAACTCTGGGATACAGTGCTTAAATTTTAAGCATTATATATGGAGATACGGACCTCAAACAATTAGCCTCATTGTCAGTTGACATGTCTTAGGCATATTCCTTGTTTGTGTAGTGGGATTTAACTATGTGATGGATGAACTCTTTTTTAACTTTTTTACTGAGATATCATGGACAGAATCATCATTAATCAAATGGATTCTTGAAATAGAAGGTACTGTTAGTGTTAGAATTGAGATCTGTTTGAGTCTAATTGTGCTATGTTTTACAAAGCTTGACCATCTAGTTGTAGTGATTATCACCATAAGCATACTAGTTAAGGCCGTAAAAAAAGATTTAACAACAATTTGTGCCAAAATACATGGTTTTAAACTAAATAGTATTTCATAAATTAATTTCATTTCTAGGGTGATTCAAATTCGAAAGTGAAACCATATTTCTATATCTTTTATGTTTTGGTTTTCAAACTAAATAAGCTTTTTAATATGTGTTTTAAATTGTGTGAAACTCTTGTACATTCATAGCAATCTTTATGTTTTGAATTGCATAGGCAACGTATTACATGATCCATACTAACAAATTGTTGTCTGTTTAGAAAAATAAAAGTAATTGTGTTTGTGGGACTCATAATTTGTTAATTGAATTTGATTAGACATTTAGTTTGTTAGTGTATGTGCTTGTTGTCCTCAAAATAAACTTGCATGTCTATTTGAGTTCAGGTCAATCACTTAGTTCCAGTATCTTTGGTTGCTTCAGAATTGAACATTCCAGGAGTTTATTTGTTGCATGACTTTGTCACTGCTAAAGAAGAGGAGGTAAGGAACTTTTGTCTGTTGGAGAAATGTTTATACTGTTGCTTTGTTTTCTCTTCTTCATTTAATGGTCTTAATGTGTTAGATACTGCTGCCAGAAGCTATTTTTGTCAATCCATATATGTATTACTTTGTTGAAAATTTTCAGGAACTGCTTGCTGCAGTTGATGAGAGGCCTTGGAAGAGTCTTTCAAAGAGAAGAGTTCAGCATTATGGGTATGAGTTTAGCTATGAAGTAAGTTATGAGATAGTGAAGAACTAGTCTACTGCCACTTCCATTATTTCAACAATAATTTATCTTTACTTATATATATATATATATATATATATATATAAATCATTTCAACAATAATTTATCAATTGTCATAGATGCTTTTTTTCCTTTTATTATTTTTTTCTTTATGATGGGACAAAACTGCTTGTAATTTATACAAAAGAGCAAATTTTAGGAGTTTGCTTTCACTCGAACTTTTCTATAGTATGCCAGAAACTATATTAAGTTATAATGCCCCACACTTCTTTTTTTTTTTCTTTTTTTTTTTTTGTCACACACATTTCTGTTTACTTAGTTGTAAATCATTTCTTGGACATATCTTCAATATGTTAGCACTGAGTTCACTTGCCAGCCACTGTCAAGAAATTTGTTTAGTGCATATCTTTGACGGATTTAATTTGAAATTTTGAATATGGTCTTCGTTTTACAATTCTTAGTGACTAATCCAAAAGGGGGGGAATAAGTTTTAAAATTTTTTATCATCTTATAATGAATTAGTTGTCCTGCTTAATTGCTTCTTCTTTTTTACCTTGGATTTTGCCTTTGTTTTTATCTTCTGGTTTCCCAATTTTGCACCATAGGGTATGGCAGTATGGATGATATCTTTTAGCCACTGAGGATGAGAATTTTGGAAATATATCATGTATTGGGTGGGAGACTTTATTTACTAAAAGAAACATTATTTTTTAACCCTCAACAAAACATACTTTTCAAATATCTATTTTCTTTTCATAGATTCATTGGTATTGGTTATCATATATCCATAGATACTAATGTTTCTCATCGTATATCCTTTTCATTGACGTTTTATACCTTATGGACTATTGTCTGGTCTTATGATTTTTATTGTTTCTTGCACTACAATGATTAATAAATGTAAGTACACTTAAGACTGACTAAGCCTTGGTCTGTTTTCTTCCCCTTTTATGGTACAGACGAGAAATGTTGATACAAAAAGGAAGTTGGGTGAACTTCCATCATTTGTTTCTTCCATACTTGAAAGAGTTTCATTGTTTCCTGACCTTGATGGTGCTGCAAATATGATTTTGGATCAACTGACGGTACGTATTGACATGCTTCTGTAGTCTTAAAATTTTTGTGATGTTTTCTGTAATCTGATAAGTTTGGCCTTGTAAGTTCTATTGGATTGGAGAGGGTTTCCTTTATATGAAGGATGTATTAAAACTTGAACACAAATGGATGGTCTAGGAAGCATAGATAATTTTTCCAAAAGAGCCATATTGTATTATGCTGGCTTGTCCATATAGGATATTGATTCTCCTACTACATCTTAAACGTATTTCTAATTTGGAAACAATTGTCCTAATTTGAACATGAATCTGACACTTTTTGGATACTACAAGATGTTTACAACATGTCTTTTCAGCAACAAGAGGTGACATTTGTGGTATAGTAATGATGTATGGTCGTTTTCAAAATATAGCTAGGGTTTCAACTAACATGGTCCATTTTAAATGAAGAAGATTGGGATATCATAGTGTGTAATTTTAAGATGAGATCCATTTCCATGTACGATTCTTAGTTTTCTTATGTAAATTTAGACATATTAAGTTAGAAACTTGGGGCATTTTAGAAATTCATGAAAATGATTCTTTATCACAAGTTTTTGAATTGCGGGAGTGGCAATCGACCTGGCTGCCAATGGGTTGCAGAGTAAGGGAGGGATGTAACCATCATGTAATGGTATCAAATATCATGGTTGTGAATTTTTTTCAATATTGTACACTGTGCCCTAACCAAGGTGATACGAAAGTTTTAACTATATATTCTTTCTTTTTTTTTCATTGGCTAGAAAAACACACACACTTACTTTACCCCTTTGGGGACTCGAACCCTCACCATCAACTTTGGGAGGTAGAGGAGATATCACTAGGCCACAAGGCCCTTGTAAGTTTATTGTGTTTTTTTTTTTTTTACTGGATTTTGTTTGATATTTAAAGGTGATCTATTATGGTAACAATCTCTACATTGTATTTTAAGTTGTTATTGACAATAGAAACATACTAAGGACTGGACTGCTGACTCCCCTAATGGCATAATAACGGCCACTACTAAGCCGACTCAGTCGAGTACCATCAGAGCCCCACCTAGTCTCTCCCAAATTCCTTCCGAGTTCGTTATGAATTTTTTCTCACTGATATAGTGGTCTGTAGTGCGAATGACTCCAACTGAATTTGTTACAACTCGGTTGAGTCTTCTAGTAACAACCACAATTTAAAATCTTGGTTTATCATAATCTATGTTATATGGATTCGGTTATGTGTCGAGTGCAGGTATGTGTCTAAACGTCTGAGGTGTGGAATCTCCAAAGTCCAAACACAAGGATACATAGATGGATAAATGGACACTGCTAAATAGCCTAGTACTTAACATCGGTATTTCACTCATTTGAAGCAATAATGTAATAAAATTTAATTATTTGATATGCTTTCTAAGTGCACGTCTAACAAAACGCGTTAAACACATCCCACATCCATGTCTGAGTATCATTTGCCAGATACTGGTGATTCATGTACTTTTGAAGGATCCATGTAACATAGATCATAATATTTGCATGTATGACAATTTATTTGTATAATGTTTATGAACACACACACACGTATACATATACATGTTGTGGTATTCATATCCCCATTTGTTATAAATCACCTCTTGCTTGTTATCCATATTTGGAATTTATTTCCTTTGTTTTATGAAGGATGATTTTAGTTTGTCTTCGTATGTATAGATGTTTTGTTTTCAAAACTGAAAGTTTTGCAATAATGATGTTGCAGGTTAACGAATATCCGCCTGGGGTGGGCTTATCCCCACATATAGACACCCATTCAGCATTTGAGGGATCAATTTTCAGCCTTTCACTCGCAGGACCTTGCATTATGGAGTTTAGGAAATATTCAGAAGGTCCTTCAAAACCTGCTTCAAGTACCAGCAAGAATTTGGAAAATTCTGATGATAGCTCAAGTTTCTTAAGGAGGGCTATCTATCTTCCCCCTCGATCAATGCTCTTGTTAAGTGGGGAGGCGCGGTATGCTTGGCAACATTACATTCCACACCATAAGGTATATGTCTTGTCATCCATGAGTTGTCCATTCTTTCTATATTTGTAGATTCTCTTCATTTGGTTGGCTTGTTCCATTTCCAATTTTCCAATCTGGTAGATTCTAGATCAATGTTACACAATTAACCTCCTGTATCAATGTTTAAATCCTTGTTTTACACACGACACATTCAGGGAGAAAATGAGTTAAATTTTATGATCCTTCTAATTACATAAAAAGAAATTCAGCATTAGTGTAGAAACAGCTATGGTAGAATTTTTGTTTTATAATTTACAAGGATAGGTGGAAATAATTTTGCACGAAGGGAACTCATCCAGTCATATGGTATGGAATGTGCTTGCCACTTGCGTCTCTAGGAAGAAAAATACCTCTATGTTCAAACAAACTTCTAGGAGACTATTAATTCAGACTTGGTCTAGGAGAATTATTTATAAGCTTTTGCTTTTATTGTGTGTCGTCTTCAAGGTTGAGTGTAGGAACCCGTAGCCCATAGGATAAAGGGATAAAGGGCTCCAGGCATGGCTTCCTGTAACTGTTAGGAAAATCAAAGATTGCAGTGCTTTGACAACCGACACACAATGGTGTTAAAGATGCTTATCCTTCAGGACGAAATCAAAGCAATCAACTTGTTTAAGGAAAAAAGAGCGAGTCTTTCAGTTATTCATGGGGATGAAAACTTGGCAAAGGGAAAGTTTGGAGGGAATGGATTTTTTGGTTCTTCTGTAATCTGTCTTGTTGGTAAGAAAAGTTTAGAGTGCACAAACGAAGATCTAATCCTAACAGGTTAGTGGATCTTCATCAGCCATTGTGCTCTAGCAGCTTCTCTTGTTTCAGTAGGCTTCTCTTAATATCCCATAAATAAAAATTAAGGGATTTAAATTTCTAGCTATCATGCTAGTGTTCTCTCTTGGTGTCACATATCTGAGGCAAACCACATGGCACTGCTGAATAAGAAAAATGAATTTTGATTACTTAAGAAGTGGTCTTAGGAACTCATCACAGTTGCTAGGATCGCAATGTAACCACAACTATGCTTTGAGCTCAGGGACTCCCTGGTCTTTGTCCCTGACCTAGGCAGACACAGGGTGCATGGATTTGGAGGTGGCTTTATGGGGGACTGAAGGTAATGGATGCACATAATGGTTAAAAACGGAAAATACAATGGATGATAGAAGTCACAATTTCAAAAACACAGGTGCACCTTGGTATTGCCCTTGCCATCGTAGTTTGAAGTCAAGACACCACATATGATGGCCTTGCAAAAGGATTAATGCTGAACATTCTTAGGTTGCTTAGATTAGTCATAGACCAAGTATCAGAGTCATCCTTCCATATGTACAGTGGCGTTTGGCCTCATGGAAGCCATCCAGCAAAGGTTGTGGAGAAGGCTATGGAGGTGCCTTGTGTAGATGGCTATCATGGTGAGACATGGCAGTAGTGGTCTAGTGCCTCTATGTTTCCCCTTGCTTGTGCGCCACTCATGTGGATGAGAACAAAATGACCTACATTTAATGTGTCTATCCACAGCAAGTGAGAGGTCATATTAATTGACATGGCAGGCAAAGTTGTGTTCAAAGAACCATTTTAAAGCCCTGTATAAAACGGTCTTTATGGCAATTTGAAAATTAGCTTTCGGGCCCTATGATGAGAGGTTCGCATGGAATTCAATTTACTCTTACCAATTCACCTATTGACCTTCTTTTGATTTTCTCTGGCTTTTGGGATTTATAGAATTTACAATAGTGTGCGACTTTTCCAAAGAAACGACATTTATGTGGGATAATTTTTTCATCCTCTCATCTTGTTCTTGGTGGTTCTTTCGGTCTTTCCCCATTCATGATATTTATTGACCATCTTTGTTGCTTCAAAGGTAGCCTTTTTCATTGGGGATAGTTATTCTAGATAGAATTGATTTAATACAAGTGTGAAGAACATTTCATACTAGCTTTACTGCCAAATTAACATAGTGCAGCTGTAAATTATCCTTTGGGGACTGTTTCTTATTGATTTTGTGGCTAAATATTGATTGGAAGTTTGTGCTTCAAGTGTATAAAAAAGATGTGAGAAAGGCCTTATAGTTTGGGGTTTGATTAGGCAAGGAAATATTGGCTGACAAGCGTGATTATGCGTCATGGAGCAGCCACCTCGTATAAAATAAAGATTAAGAATGTCTCCAGTATTCTCCCAGCACCCTTGCGTGGACAGGACTAATACTAAGCACTTATAGCTAGGCTTTCAGTCTTGCCTAACTCTTGATTCATGGCATGAGTTATTATTTAAATTGTGTTACTGAATCATTATTTGAGACCTTTTTATTCATAAGTTATTTTGCTTAAATTTTACTCCACTTAAATTATTTTATCTAAGATATTTATTTATTATTAAAAAAAAAAAAAAAAAACGAGGGTGCTATTGTGTGAGAACTACCATTTAAACGAGGGTTTGGGAACTGTCATGGTAATTCTGCATGGAGCTATTGTGTGATGACACGTGTTAAGTTGTCCTTGTGTAAGAATGATTACATAATTGTACATTTCTTAGGCCTCAATGCTGGATATGTGTGGATATACACATTCATAATGAGCTGTCAAAAGATGTGTGCACTTGTGGACAACCTAGTGAGCTGAAACAAGGGTATTGTGGTCTCATCATCACTGAAATTGTCAGGGTATTTCCTCTCAAAAGATTGGAGGACGTCATTACACTTATCCACAATTCTTGGGCTGTGTCATTGGTATGATAGACCACTATATATAGTCTTTATAGCTACAGCAGCCAGAGAGCTTAATGTGAGCCCTTGAGAGCATTTCTGAGCAAGCTTGTAAGCTCCTCTCGAATGAAAAAGGTCTCAAGTATTTCTGGGATTTTAATTAACCTAGAGAACCAAAATTAATCCCAGAAATCATCTATCATGAGTGCTTCATATGAAGATCAAGAAGGGGACAGTTGCAGCTGATTTTCTGGTGCAGAATTCTGGATTGAAAGGGCAACTCTGGTTTGGTTCATTTCTAGTGCCAAGTAAAGGTTGAGGCAAGTTTGTTTCATCTATTTACATTTGCAGAAATCAAGTTTATCTTCATATCCTAGCTGCATTTGTTTTACAAGTCTCTAACCTAAGTTCTGGTGCAAATACAACTGAAATATGTATAACATGTTGAATTCATGCTGTGAACATCATGTATACCATCTGAGCATGAATACATTGTTGATTTGAAGCTAATCAAGCTGAGACTTGGCCAATAAAGTGGCCCATTCAAGTTCTGGTATAGTGAACCTCATAAACTAGGGTTTTAAGCCTAATCTCTGTGTTATGGGAACTAAGCCTGAGATATCATGTTTGAATCATTATAATGATTATCTGAGCATTTGTGTAATGATGATTCAAGATTATTAGAGCATTGTTTAGGCCTGAGACACCACAGAATTACTTTTATACCCTCGGATCAGAGGCTTTACGCTGCAAAACGTAACCTGCGGAGAGTTATTTTTGGTTATAGTTTTATGGTACATTGTTCCATCCTTGCTGAGTTAATTGAGAACATCATCTGTGCAAGAGTAAAATGATTGTGTGAAGCTGTGAGAACCTATATTAGCATATGTTTCTTGTGTTTTGACAGATTTGCCCTTGAAGAGCTTGAAAGCTGGGGTTTAATGTGTTTCAAGCCTATTGTGAACTGAGATTATTTTATCTTGCTCCATCCACTGTTTCAACCTGTTGAGCAAGTATGTATTGAGTTATCAAGGTTGTGGAAACAAGGTTTAACTTCAGGTTCAGGTGAAATTCCAATTTTACCCTTGAGAGGCTAAAATTAGGGCTTTGAAGATTATAAGATTGTTGTGTTCTTACATTGCTATATCTTGTTGGCTTCACTGAGTTTATCTCTTAAACAAGTGTATCTTAGCTATATAGAGTTGTGGAAGGCAATTGTAGATCATTCTTGGAGCTGCATTGTGAAGTGACCCTTTTACCCTTAAATTTAGGGTTTAAGCCTATTGGGAGCTGTTCTTGAGTTACCTTGCTTATCTAACTGTGTACTCCATTTAAGCAAGTGTATTTGGCTGTGACAAGGCTTTGGAAACCTAGTTTGTTCATCAAGTGAAGCTGCATTGTGATTTGACAGTTCTATCCTATTGATTGCAGAGAAGTGTAAACTAGGGTTTCTTGTATTGTGTATACTTAAGGTTGTGTATCCATTCTTATATTGTGTAACAGCTTAAGTATTTTGTAATTGGTGTGTTGACACCTTCATTCTTTTGTTGAGAGAGCTGTGAGAGCTCATTGAGTCCAAGCAAGGGTGCTTAGGACAGGGGGAGTGCATGAGTGCACTATGTTGAGCTAGTGTGCGTGTAGAGGCTGTGAAAACTAGTGTCTTTACTAGTACAAGGTGTATACAGAGAGAGAGATAGTTGAGTGTGTAACTACTTGCATACAACTAGTGGAACTTATTATTAGCTGAGGCCAAGAACCAAGGTTTTTCCCTATTAAGAGGGTTTCCTTGTATACCTTGTGTTCATGTGGTTTGGTTGATATCTCTTATGTTCATCATGCTTGTACTTAAGTTAAACAAGGAAGAGTTTTACACTTAGACCAATTCACCCCCCATCTTGGTCTAACAATTGGTATCAGAGCCTTGGTTTGCACAGCCAAGGCCTTTACAAGCCTGCAGAAAAGATCTTGGAACAAAATGGAAGGTCATGTATTGATGAGGCTCCTAGGTTCAATAATGGAAGCTTATCTAATGTCACACTCCTATGATGTGTGAGTCGCTGCTACAAAAAATTCAATGGTACTTCAAAGTAATAACTTCTACTCTTATGACAATACGACTATGACAAGTGATGTTAAGCAAGACAAGCTCTAACTAGTTGTCTACAACAGCAAGAGCTTATCAAAGTCAAAGACTGCAAATCAGCTAAAGATGTTTGGGACTTTCTTGGGACAATGCATGCAGACATACAACACAGATTCACCAGTGTCATAGAATCATACTAATTATGGT